AGACATTGATAAATATTTGAAAAGTATTTTCATAGATAGTTGAATATTTAATTTTAAAATTAATTATTGGAAAAAAAATTAGATGGACAAATGTATTAAAAATATTTCATATATCCTTAAAATAGTATTTCCTAATTTTAAGAAAATTTACTTTTATAAAATAATTTAAATTATTTTAATTTAATAATTAGTTTATAATTTTTTTAAAGAAAATTAAAATTCAACCAACCAAACACAAGTTTAATAAAGCTAGTTTAACAAAATACAAAACACTTAACAAAATCATAAACATCAGTCAAACATAGACTTAACAAACCCAGAATTAATAAACATATTTGTGCACCAACCAAACGCAGACTTAATAAACCTGGTTTGACAAACCTAGACAGCGAATCAAACACTCCCTTATGGATTATGTGATTCAAATAGTGGAATTATGAAAAAAAACGTATTTATGTTTACAGTGTTTTCAAATTTTTAATTTGAAACTTTAAAATGCACAATTACATTAAAAGATATAAAAACTATGATAAATATACCATTTCATGTTATAAACTCGTTTTAATTATGTTAAAATTGAAATTTTACAAACAACAAATTAAATGATCTCTCCCTCTGCTACCCATTTTTGTCTTTTAGAAATTGGAAAGATTAATAAAATAACAATATGGTACATTAGTTGTTTAATTTTTTTAATCGTTGTTGGAGTGGAACATGTGGAGGGAGTCTGACTGTGAGGAGATCGGAGTAATAAAAGGGGCTGAAATGGTGAGGGAAAGAGTTTTTCTAGGTTTACAAGAGCAGGAATAGTGGAAAAGGTTAATAATAATATCTAACAAATTACCAGCGATGGTTAAAACGAGCTCAGCGGTAATTGACATATATTTCAAACCAAGAGGTTGGAAATTCATTTTTTTTTCTTTTTGTAAAGTTAAAAAATGTGAATGTGGAGACTAACCTCACGATTTTTAGTTGAAAATATATACTTTAATTATATTCAAGTTGGCTTTTTATTGTATGAAAAAAAAAAAAAGAGTTCGTTGTTTTCAGCTATTTATTTTTTCTTTTTGAAATTAAATTATAATAAATGACCAAAAGTGGTTGTAACCAGTCTAACTCTTCGTGGTAAATTCACTCAAGAGCATCTGGCCGGGACTCTTCCATGAGGATCTCTCTTATTATTCTCTAAAAGCAATGAGAGTCATGCCATGTGCCACTCGATTTCTTACCCGTTCACACCAAACAAACAAAAGAGCATAAAATGAAAGATTGAAGGATCGAATTTCAACAAAGATCGGGTCTAAAGCTGCATCTTCTTCTACATTTCCCTGAATCATATGAATAATTTGAGCTGAGTCGAATTCAACAACAATGGAGCCAAAACCCTCCTCCTTTCCAACATAGAGGGTGTCTCTAATTGCTATAGTTTCAGCCGTTTAGTTGAATGGCCACCAAAAATAATATTGTCTTTAGTGCGTGTCTCAAAGTAATTTTTTTTAGTACATCATGTGAGGTGAGAGATCGAACTCACAACCTCTTAATCAGACATATATGTCAAATTACCGTTGAACTATATTCGTTTTCGCTCTCAAAGTAACTCTATTACCACAAATGCACCAACTAGCTAGTCAAATCTTTCTTTATTATCATCACTACTATGTATTTATTATTTTGTTATTTACTTTTCTTTGGGAGACAAAAACAAAGACAACCAGGTCTCTTTTTAATACTATTTTTACACCAAAACCATAGGACTGTACATGGGGACTAGTTAATTATTTATCTAGTATATTTTATTTTATGTATTGAATTTATGGCTATTTTTTTTCAAAATAAATTTAACCACGCACACCTAACCCATTACTTTATTAACATTGATTTGAGCTTGAGGGAAAAATAATATTTTTGTTGGGGGTATAGCACAACATACCAAGTGTCAAAAGAAAGGATTGCATATGATCCGAGGTGTAATACCTCGTACTACGATGTCTGACCTATAACTCGCTCTTAGAGTTAGGCATAAGTGGGACTCATGAATCGAAGTGGAAGAACACCCCGTAGCTGTCTATCAACTCCCTACTAATCGCTACTATTGACTTTACGTCAAATTCACCGGATGTGCAAAGTGGTAGAAGAATGGTTTGTATTCGTGAATGCCTACAAATACTAAAGGTTGATTCTAGGCAAAAACGCAAGTTTTGTTGACCAGACTGTCTGTTCAACCCAAAGGGAGAAAGAAATAGCAAGCCTTCGAACAAAAATCTTCGAGTTGAGGATATTCATGGCAGTCGTGGCAGACCTGTGGGCTGAAATGGCTGTAATGATGCACAAGTTTCAAGTTGCCATACCACTATTACCGCTCGTTAGGGAAGACAGACCTTTAGTGACACGCGACCTGCCAATCATGTAAGAAGATCCACCATTGGTACTAGATCCAAGATGAGGTAAAAACTTGGTTGCCGATAACCAAGCACTCGAGTGAGTTAAGTCTATATCGATTTGTGAGAAATTAAACATTGGATTGGCTCGTGAAAGATTGAATATGAGTGGGTGTCCAACGATTATAGAAACTTTGCCTACTCCTCGTCGTAATGTAAACTTGCAGGATAGGTTAATTAAATACCTTAGCCAATCAACTACCTCCATCACCGATTGACCTGTGCCAAACTTTGGATGAGAAATCCCAAGATAGAGGTTAGATTATATGGATTTGAGATTCCTGGAGTATATGATAGAACATAGAACCATTTCCCAACTCATAGCCCCTGGTATACCTCAACAAAATGATGTATCGAAAAGGAGAAATAGAATCTTGGGACATGGTTCGGTCAATGATGAACAGTTAGATAACTCATTTTGAGGTTATATAGTAGAGACTCTAGTCTATATCCTGAATAATATTCCGTCAAATAGTGTTTCGGAAATACCTTTTGAGTTTTGAAGATGTCGTAAACCTAGTTTAAGGCACTTTAGAGTTTAGGGATGTCTAGCATTTATGCTCACGACAAACCCAAAGAAATTGGAACCACGTTCAAATGTATGCCTATTTGTAGGTTATCCCATTGAAACAAGAGGTGTTTACTTCTTCGCCCTAAAGAAAATAAGTTATTTGAATCGACAAATGCTACTTTCTTAGAAGAATACGACATAAGGGATCATAAACCACGAAGTAAAATGGTATTGAACAAAGCTATCAGTACAACAACAAAAGTTGTTGACACTGTTGGCCCATCAACAAGGGTTGTTGATGGAACCAATATATCGGGTCAACATCATTCTTCTCAAGATTTGAGAGGGCCTCGACGTAGTGGGAGGGTTGTGAGCTAACCTGACCGTTACGTGGGATTAACGGAATCCCAAGTCGTCATACCCGATGATGGCATTAAGGATCCATTTTCTTATAAACAGACAACGAAGGATGTTGACAAAGATGAATGGGTCAAAGCTATGGATCAGGAAATGAAGTCTATGTACTCCAATTTCGTCTAGGGGCTTGTAGATGAACCTAATGGGGTAAAACCTGTAGGTTGTAAATGGATCTGAAAGAGAGATGCAAATGGAAAGTTACAAATCTTTAAAGTTAGACTCGTGACAAAGGGTTATCCTAACTGGAGGGAGTTGATTATAAAAAAAATTCCTCCCGTTACCATGCTGAAGTCTATCAGTATTCTTTTGTCTATTGTCACATTTTATGATTATGAAATTTTTTGAATGACTATCTTGATGGGAGCATCCATACGACGCAGCCAGAAGGGTTCATAAAACTGTTATGAATGTCAAAAGAGAAAAACATTTTTCAAAATAAAAATAGTCTTTTGATGTAAAATAGTCTTTGGTGTTGTCTCACATGGAAAAAATAAATAGTTTTGTTATAAATCATTTTTATGTTTTGGACCCAAATTGTTCAGCCCAATATTGCTATTAGTGTTCGGGTCATGGGTTGATTCACATTTCATTTGAAACCGTGGGGCCATTCACATTTGATTTGAAACCTGTTAATAAACTGTGGGGCCCATAGCTATTATTTGAATGCTTTCCATTCACATTTGACTTGAAAGTGTATTAATATATCGTAGGGCCATAACTATTATTTGAACGTTTTTTGCTGTTTTGAAATAAATATGGGTTCATTGCTAAAACGTTTTTTATTTCATTACAAAAAATTGTTTTTTCCATTAATGATAAGGAAAAACGTTTTTTTGTTTACAACCTATATATACCCATCTTTGTTTCATTTGTAAAACACAGCTGATTCGAACCCATTTTCCGACGAGTGCACGCTTGAATTCGGGTGTTGTGTTAACTTTGGGAAGCAACCGGCAACTAACAATTTAGCACCACGGTCGTGCCGAACTTGCTTTCAAGGCAGTGGTTTCCACGACACAACAACATATTTTTCTATATCGTATTCTTCCTCCCTTTGCTCCTACAAAAACAAGGTCAAGAGAAAAAGTTTGCAAGCTTAAAAGATTTATAGGTTGAAGCAAGCTTCTAGATCTTTTCTTCCAAGATTTGACACCGCAGTCAAATTTTATAATTTTGGCCAAAATGTATTGATCAACCTTGTGTATATAAGAAGGTCATCAATAGTACCGTAACATTCTTAGTATTACACGTGGACATACGCACCATTTTTAAGTTTAACTATTTACGCTATGGAGTAATTTTTTTACCATTATCATGTTAGTTTGAAAACGATAATCTAGGATGAGGTTGGTCATTTGTAATTATATAATATATATATATATATATATATTTTGCTGATTATTAAATTTTATAAATATTTGTTTATAATATATTACTAATCTATAAAACAAATTTTAATTGGATGAAAAATACTTTTGAAAGAGTAGAACTAAATAACAAGCTGTTTTATTATGAGAAGCACCCTATATCTAATACAAATAATTTTAACAAACTCGAAAACACACATCAAATAGTTTTATTATGAAATGCACCTGTATATCTAATACAAATAATTTAAACAAAAATCACTTCTCACTCAAAAACACACATCTTTTACGATTTCAAAACCCTAGGACAATGACTAAACAATAATCCACAAAATATGCGTGCAATCACAAAAATTATAAGCAACACGACAACAAGAATAGCAAGGATCTTGGCCGTCGGAGATACGTATTTCTTTACAAACTTTGCCACCTTAATCCTCCATTTGCTCTCGTAATATTTGTTTAGTTTTTCAATAATTTCATCCATATCTACCATGCTTGATGATTCAGAACTAGACTCGGTCTGTGATGATTCGCTCTTGGGAAACCCATCAAACAACTTCACAACTTCTTCATCACTCTCTAGATGATTAATGATAATGTTAGCTTTCGTGAGAATTTTGACATCATTCGTAGTTTCTATTAATCCATTCATGATGGCTGCATACTGTGATAAACATGGTGGGCTCAGCTTGGCAATGACTTCAAATGCTACTAGATTTCTCAATATTACTTGGGAGTTGGAATCTAATGTGATGGTAGGCAAGCGAAGAGAAGTTTTTTCCTTGCTAAATGTAATCCCTCGAAGGCTATATGATGGCTCAAATTTCACTCCAAGTTTCTTCAATCTCGAGGCTGAAGGGATGATAGAAAGGTCATCTTGGAGTGACGATGGTTGAACTAATGTCTTAAGTATTGTAAACAAGGATTGGATTAAGTCATTGGATTCTTTAAATACTCCTTCTATGCACATCTGCAGGAGTGACCCCAATATCTCGCAGCAAAGACACAGGAAACCTATAAAGGCATCACCGGCGTTCTCTCTGATCATTTCTATTTCTCTCTGATTCAAAATGAAGAGGTATAAAAATTGTAACAAATGGTGAGACTGCTCGAAAGTTTGAGGAAGGTTAGGAAAACGGCTGCCTCTATTAAAGAACAAGGAACGATGGGACGGTAAGCCAAATGGCGAAACCAAAACGCAAAATTTGTAAAGTTGGACAGGCAAATCATTGATGATTTCGTTTCCTACTAAAATTCCTTTGAGGACACGAAACGGAATTTGATTCTCCACCATCAAAGCATCGCAGATAATCTCATCTCGACCCATTGAACTTGCTTCGTGATTGAGGTACAATTGTTGGTGTTCAACATCAAGCTCAGGCCATGAGAGTTTACTGTTTAAATCACGCTTTACTTCCACTTCAGCAAAGATATGAAGCAAGCGAATCAAGAACAAGGCATCGATGAGCATCATCCAACTCAAACTCTCGCATCCCACTTCTAAATATTTGTCGAAACATGCTCGGATTTGGAGCTCCAATGGCTTGAGTGTGTCACTGACAAGTTGGTGAAACTCAGGAAGTTGGATTTGGTGTTTCACCTTCTTTGCTACAAGGAGCTTGTAGAGCTCCAACTTGAGCAGCTCTGGGCGAAAATGGTGATAAGGCCCCAAGGAAATGCGACGAGGAGTGAAAGCCTCTGGACTGTCGTTTCGAATACAATCTGGCACCTGAAAGATTGAAGTTGGAGTTTCAAAAGCTGTATGAAAATCATTTCGTTGGAGAAGCTCATTGATTTGCACAACCCACTGCATTTCTTCAAGATTTGTGCTTAGAATTGAATCTGATGGTGATTCCATTGCGATATATATCTCTATGAGTTATTATTTATGCCATAGTTGAATGAAAATCAACATATTTATATAAGGAAAACCAATGCATGGACTAAATCAAGTCTTTTTTTATTTTTTTATCTTTTGAGAAGATACTTCATTGAAAGAACTTTGAAACGCCATGAAGGCTACGGATTTTGCTTTTCGATCATCTTCCACTAATTGCGCAAACCAAGTTTGAAAGCTCAACAACCACAGTGCAGAAGGCAGGAGAATTTCTGCTACTTGCATTGCTTTAGCAAGATTATGAGCATTTTTACTGCTTTCATTATTACTACTACAGATATTTATTATTTCTTTTGAAGTCTTTCATTATTATTACTACTTTATATTTATTATTTCTCATCAAGTCTTTCTTTATTATTACTTTTATATATTTCTTTATTATTTAAGGCATGGTGGAATGAACACACCAACTTATTATTTATAGAAAGATGATTTTGTTTGGTGCGCCTCTTAGTGTTCCCATTGGTCCAATATTGACTAATCAATTATTTCTTTATTATTTCTACTATATATCTTTGTTATTTCTATTGAAATCTTCCTTTATGATTACTACTATATATTTATTCTTTCTAATCAAGTCTTTCTTTACTATTACTACTATACACCACAAAATTTTAGGCAATTCAACATAGAAAATTCGTGGGGAAAGGTACGTAATCCCAATACTAACAAAATTCTCAACGTTTAATTATTGCATCAGCATACCACACTTTTCTCGACGAAATAACATTCGTGGGGAGAAGTAACTTCTCTCGACATCTTTTAAAGTTTTTCTTCTGTTGAAAAATAGTTTTAATACCCAACCCTAATCCTTTTTCTTCTTCATTTCAGTGATTTTCTTTCTTCATTTCAGTTGCAAAAAATGCTGCCGCCGCAGACTTCCCACTTCACCGACGGCCTTGCACACTTCCGGCAGCCGCTACACTTCATTTCTGAAATTGATTGCTCTGCAATCTCCAATCAATCCATGTTAGTCTCCAAACCTACGTTAGGATTTTAGGCTCATAAATAAATAAAATTCCTTTATTTTCTTTTATTTCTTTTTGAATTAGAATTTAGATTTTTCCAAATCATTAACATAGGTGACTTATGTTTTCTCTTCAATTGCTTGCACAACAACCGTTTTTTTTAGGTTAACGTTCTCGTTTCTTGTTTCTAATTTTAATTAAGAAATCTGAACATTTCAGAAATAATTATGTTTCCTTGTTTCATTTTTTAGAAATATTCTCAAAATTGTATTTTAGAAACAACAAAAATAATTTTCTTGTTTCTTGTCGTCGTTCACAATTTATTCCAACATAAATAAAAATCTTGTTTTAATCTTCTTGTAACTATGGGTGTTGAAGTTCCTACCATTCTATTATTATTTTATTAAAAAAGAGAAAATTGTTACCAAACGAGCCCTTAATTCTTCATTTGTTCCAGTGAGTTTCTTTACCTAATTTTGGTGAGAACTGTGTGGCCATTTGCAAGCCCTTTTGCTCATGTTTATATTTTACCTTTGAACTCATTGTGATTTGGTTTCCATCATTTCTAATTGGACTTTGCATGAAGTTACATTTTGAATTTATGATCAGGATGATATGTGATAGGACTCTCCCAATGCCAGAATGCACTCCCTGTTTTACTCATATGAAAGAAATAAATAGTACATTTGCACAAAAAGGATAGAAAGAGAAATTAAGGAAAAGATTTGGAAAAGATATGGAAAAGATCAATCCGTTCAAATGAGATTGCAAGGATAAGGAAACTGTAGCCGCTGGCAAGATTTCAGCTGTATCCTCATTATTTTAGCCAACAGTCAAAAGAGATTTTCCTTAAATGATAGTTGCTTGTACCAAGTTTCTTGTAGGAGTCTTATTGTTGTCAATTGAATCCATTGTTAGTCTGCTGCTAATAATTCAAATGGTTGCTTTTCATTCTTCCTCAAGTTGAATGTAGTTTCACGAATGCCCAGCTTGCTCCTCAAGTCTTTGAATACGACCTTTTGAAGGGGCTTTGTGAATATATCAGCTAATTTGTGTTTAGAAGGAACATATTTGGTGGTTAGTAGCCCAAGACAAACCTTCTCTCGAACAAAGTGGTAGTCAAGTTCGATGTGCTTTGTCCGTGCATGGAACACCGGATTTTTAGACATGAGTATGGCACTCATGTTGTCACAAATTAGTTGTGGTGGCATAGGGGTTTTAACACCAATATCCTTTAGTAAGAATGTAATCCATGTTAGGTCTGCAGTTGAAGTTACCATTGCCCGATACTCAGCTTCTGAGCTTGAGTGAGCTACTGTGGGTTGTTTCTTTTGAGCTCCAATATATGCAGTTAGATCCTAAGAATATACAACAGCCTAAAGTGCTCCTTCTAGTTTCTAGACATCCGGCCCAATCTGCATCACAAAAAGCGTATAGATTTAGTGAACTATTCTTATAAAAAGATATTCTATACCTTAGAGTGCCCTTTAGGTATCTCAGGATGTGCTTGACCATCTTCAAGTGCTTGAGTCTTGGTTTTTGTAAATGTTGGCATGCTTTGTTTACGGCGAATGTGATGTTAGGTCGAGTGAAAGTCAAATATTGAAGTGACCCTACTATGCTTCTGTATTTTGTGGCATCAATCAGTTCATTATCAGTTGTGGAGGACGAGGTGGAAGTTGACATTGGTGTGCTCATTTGGGAAGCTTCAAGCATTCTTGCTTTATTTAAGATGTCCTTGGCATATCTTCCTTGTGAGAGCATAGCTCTAGTAGGGGTGTGATGAACTTCTATTCCAAACAAGTAATGTAGAGGTCCAAGATCTTTTAGTGCAAATTCTGCACCTAGTTGAGTGATGAGTTTTTCCATGTGTTGTGAGCTAGACCCTGTCAAGATAATATTATCAACATAAACAAGCATTAGAGTGACTACATTTTCTCCCTTACAGATAAATAAAGATGGGTCAGAGTGTGAGCTATTAAATCCAATATGAAGAATAAATTGAGATAATCTTTCAAACCAAGCTCTAGGTACCTGTTTCAAACCATAGAGCGATTGATTGAGTTTGCAGACATGGTGTGGCTTTTCAGGATGTTGGAAACCCGATGGCTGAGACATGTACACTTCTTCTTTAAGTAGACCGTGGAGAAAAGCATTCTTTACATCCAATTGTCTCGGGGACCAATTTGAGGTAATGGCCAAGGCAAGCACAAGTCTTATTGTTGTTGGTTTCACTACGGGGCTAAATGTTTCCTCGTAGTCTATCCCTTCTACTTGAGAGTAACACTGAGTTACAAGTCTTGCCTTAAACTGTTCTATTGTTCCATCCTCTTTCAGTTTAGTTTTGAAGATCCACTTCGGACCCTACTATGTTTGTGTTATGTGGAGGTGTAACTAAGGTCCAAGTATGATTTTCTTGGAGAGCTCGCATTTCTTCCTCCATTGCAGCCTTCCAATGAGGGATCTTTAAGGCTATTTTGTAATGTTTCGGTTCAGCCTCACTTTTGGTGTAAAAGAGTGCAAGTTGACTCGTGTCTTTTCCATTTTTGTGAACTTCCTGATGCAGCACTGGATTTAGATGCGGGTTGTAAGTGAGTTTTCTTCTTGTGATCATTGGATGATTGTTGATAGTTACAACAGCGAGCTGGTTAATGTTGGAAGTACCTGCAGGAGAGATGTTCAAGTCAATTGACAGATTATTACTTTTATTGGGTAAAGTACTTACCTCCTGTTTATGAAGTCCTTGCAAACTGTGACTTGAGCTGCTATTTGGGAGTTGACCATTTGAGAGAGGCTGGAAATTGGAGACAATAGAGTCCTCAATTTGAATTTAATATTGCCATTGTATTTCAGCTCTTTGGGTAGAGTTTTGGTGAGGATTAGAGACTTTAATTTGAGATACATTGTTTTCCTCAATTTGTTGCTTGTCTGGTGATTGCATCTCAAGACTTGAAGTATTATTTCTACCTTGGAAAGGATTTTGTGATTGATCTGCAATATTATTGTCTATCAGTAGGTTTGAGGAAGTTTCATTGTCATCCAAATGAGTATGTTTTCTAGTGTAAGTAGTTTCCTCCATTTTCTGTTGTCTGACATCTATATAGTCATCTTGAGGTGTTTGATTTGCCATGCTAGATGGGTCATGCCATTCTTCAAAATCTGTAAACTCAGAAGTAACAAGAGAGTTATCCATGCATTGTGTGTCAGTTTTGTTATTAAGGTTCAAAAGGAAAAATATTTTCATAAAAAACAGCATGCCTTGAAATATAAATTTTGTTTGTCAAAGGTCCAAACACCTATAACCTTTGAGAATGGGGCTATATCCTAGAAACACACAAGGATAAGTTCTCTTTGAGAGTTTGTTTTTGTTGTAGTTTCTAAGGTAAGGAAAACACTTGCATCCAAAGACTTTGATGCCACTATAGTCAGGTTCTCTATTAAACAATTTCAAGAAATTAAGGTTTTTAGAGGGCATTCTATTTATCAAGAACACAACAGTAAGAAAAGCATAGGGGGAACTTTAGATTGAAAGAGAAGTGTTAGCCCGGTCTCTACTATGTGCCTATGTTTTCTCTTAACAAGTCCATTTTGTTGTGGGGTGTGAGGACATGAGAATTGGTGAATGATCCCTTTTTGTTCAAATAAGCTTTTAAGACCCAGATGTAAACTCACCCCTCCATCACTTTGAAAATTTTTTATCTTCCTTTCAAATTGGTTTTCCACAAGATTTTGAAATTTAATGAAACAACAAAGAAAATCAGATTTTTTCCTTAAAACGGTAAATCCAACAAAACCTTGAGAAATCATCTACAAAGCTCACATAGTATCTAAAACCTTAGAATAGAATTAATGGGAGACGGTCCCCAAAGATCACAATCTACTTTATAAAGAGGATAACTACTTATGTGTTTATTTAACTTGAAAGGAAGTTGACAACTCTTGCCCATTTGACAGAAATCACACAAATTTCTAGTTTTGTTCCAACTAAC